TACAGTTGTTTCTGAGAAAACAAGTAATGTACTCAGCCACCACAGTTGTATGCATCATCACACAAGATGATGTTTGCTTTTCATCACTGTTGAAGGAAAGCATGATGAAATATGTTTAAAATATCTTGTCTAAATGTTGCTCTTAATGCGCAACATTTGGACAAGCCTGTGAAATAATGGGAGAATATCGTCGGGTCAAATGAGACCAAAATCGAACTCTTTAGATGCCATAATAAACACCATGGAAGAATGAACTAAATTAACACCTGAGCAATCCATGCAACTTGCTTTTCCGTACAGAAGGCGTCTTCAATAAATAAGAAAAAATCACTAAGGTTGTTCAACATTTCTTCCCTGTTTCAGCTCTCATTATCACACATAACTTAATTCTGTGGTTTGATTTCTCTGCATGTGTGGATTGGATGAGTCGTTACTGACATCTGCTGAGAATTTTATTTCAATAGCACCTTTAGAAATATATTTAATTAGACAATTGATGATGTGTTCGATGCTTATTTTACCCACTGTATATCCATCCATCCATCCATCCATTCGCTTATCCTTTTCAGGGTCGCGGGGGGCGCTGGAGCCTATCCCAGCTGTCATAGGGCGAGAGGCGGGGTACACCCTGGACAGGTCGCCAATCTGTCGCAGGGCCAACACACAGGGACAGACAACCATTCGCACTCACATTCATTCGCACATTCACACCTAGTGACAATTTGGATTATCCAATTAACCTATCCCCACAAGCTGTATACTGTACACTGTATATACATTAGCAAAATAAAGAGACATGCCTCCATAGCACAGACTGAGGTCACAGTTAGTAAATGCATCAACTTATTGTGGCTTGTTCATGAACACAACAAAAATTAGACACACACACACACACACACGCACGCACACACACACACACAGTCGTGTTTTCGTATTTTAGTGGGGACATCAATTGAGATGTTTTCCCTAGCCGCTTACCCTAACCATCAAAAATGAATGCCTAACCCTAACCTTTAGTCTAAACCGAATCATGTCCAAAGGACAACCCTGACACCAAAATGACATTTTGAGTCTCAAAAATGCCTTCAAAGTCATGCGGACAGGAATTTGTCCACATAACGACTTTTGGTCCCCACAAGTATAGTAATATTTCAATTTCTGGTCCCACAAACAGATGTAAACATGGTACACCCACACTGTGAATGACCACGGCAGACCCGATGGCATGAACATGCTTTGCAGCATACTTTATTCCAAACACGGTTGCTGTTACAAAACACAGAGCTGCAGCTTTCTGCCAGCTCAACATACCAGCAATGACTATCACAGGACCCGGTGCAGCACTTAAGTCAGCGGGGCATGATTGCGGATGACGTGCAGGTGCATCCGCCTTCCCTGCACATTCACATTTCGTTGTCTCCGAGCTCACAGTACTGCTCAGCCTTTCCCATAGCTTTTCCCTTCAGCTTCCTGTTTTCCAGCATTATGTTATCTGATGGTGCCATCCAGTGGCTGATCGCTTACAAAACTGGTGACATTACATAGTTTGAAAAATCCAAAGGGAAATACATTTGCAGATGTTTTTCTTTTTTCTTTCTTTCTTTTTCTTGTTCTCTTTTTTTAATAGACTGAGGTTATTAAATACTGGCTACCTGCCCAGGAAACTGTCTTTGAAGTCTGAGCCAAAACATGCCAGCTGCCATCTTTGTAATTTGCTATTCAAAGCCAAGGTTACAAAGTTAAAAAAGGGAAAAAGAAAGAATTTTGGTACACAAAGAAAGAAAGAAAGAAAGAAACAAACAAACAAACAAACAAACAAAACAACAATAATATCGGTTCTCTGGAAATGTTGATTATGTAAAATCAGAATCTACAGAGTTATTTCAAAGAGGTTTTGTTTTAAATTACTTGTCCTACTAGGGATGTTCTGCACTGCAGTGCACGCAGCAGCAGTTGCTGCAGTCTGTTATTCTTTGCGTATCATGTCAGTAATATGGATGCTGCTGTCTTTTACCAGGCAGCTTCACAGGAAGAGCTCTTAGAGTACGGCAATGTAATGGGCTTATAATACACAGTTGTGGATAATTGTGTAGAGTCTCTATATGGTTCATGGGCATGTCTCTGAGTGAGGCTGCTATTTAATGTGCTATGATGTGGAAAGCCCACTGTGAGAGAGCCACTAATGGTGTGTTTGCTTGTGTATTTGTGTGCACACTATGTGAGTTTGCCTCTGAATTAAAGTTTTTAGTAGTTTCACTTCTAGTTGTTTATCTCAACAGAATTGTGTGTGTGTGTGTGTGTGTGTGTGTGTGTGTGTG